AGTCTATCAGGCTGCAAAGATATTTTCTTTTATTTTATGCTTGAACCATATGACTGTTTTAATAGTTTTACTTAGCTACAACTTCTGTAAGTTGTATTGCTCATGTTGAAACATTTGACTTAAATAAATTAGAACTGCTATTCTTATAGAGGGCCAAAATGTTTTCAATGGATGGAAACATCATGTGAATAAAGATGAAAGCGACTTTGTTGTACTCCTCTTCTGGGAATCTTTCTAGGGATATTACTAAAGTCAAGAATATATCAGAAATGAAGAAAAGATAGGAATATAAAGAATAACTTTCATGGAAAATTGAAATCATTCCTTTTAAAGTTTACAATTTCTACCCTCAGCCTTGAAGGATGGGTTCTTTCCAGATATAAAGGTGACAGCCACAATACGATTTTGATTCAACTATGGTTAATGTCAGGAGGTCTAGACAGTGATATTTTATTACAAATTTAACAGACATTTATGTAGCTAATTCAATGGGAGAAGACCTGGGCTAGACGGGGCTGAGAGATACAAAAGAAAATGAGAATAAAGTCCGGGGGCGGGCGGAGATGCAGGTGGCGGCCCTGAGCGGCCACCAGCTCACACACTGGTCTGTGAGCAGCCTCGCCACTGCAAGGAGACCCAAGCAGTTAACAGGTCATGGCACATTAAAAAAAAAGATTACAGGCAGATACAAAAGCTCTGTATTGAGAGTATACAGAACCAGAAGCAAATTTCCAACATTGGTGGACTTAGGGAAGAAAGAGCAAAAGTGATAAAAATGGGAAGGGAACAGGCAGCCTTGTTTGTTCAGACGATGTGTGGAAGCAAAGAGAAAGACCAAGGGTGGGAATGCAGAGTTGCAGACTTTGAGATGCACCAGTCACTGACACTAGAGTAATTTTTTATATTTGAAAATAATTTTTATTTCTATAATCTCATTTGCATATCATAACCACTCTGTAAAGGTGAAGTCCATCATATGCATCCAAAAGAGACCACCTGTCAGCTGAGCTTGGCTGTGAAAGACGGTCTTATTGTTGAAAGTCTCACTGTGGGATGCAAAGGTTCAAAAGCTGGTATTGAACAAGAAGGGTATTGGCTGCCAGGAGATGAAATTAGGAAACAGAAAATCATGACTGGTATTGTTTTGAATGCCATCTTCCTGGAGAGGTGTTGATATGTGATCTGTGTTTTCATGTGTATCATTCCAAGTTTTTGTCTGATGACTACAGGCTTAGATACAGCAGTAGTCACTGGCAGTGCCTTGTTTGCAGGACCATCAAGAAGAAAAATACAAACAAACAAGAGATGAGCACATACCTGAGGTTTATTGTCTCCTCATGAAGGAGAAGGCTATAGACCTCAATAAAAAGGGGAAGGACAGCAAACACCCGATGTACCAGTGGCTGGTGCACTCAGCAGTGGATGTCCCCCATACAAGAGAAAGTGAATGAAGGGAAATATCGAAGTTATGAAGAGTTCAAAGCTGATGGTCAGCTACTTCTCCACAATACAGTGATTTTCTATGGAGCAGACAGTGAGCAAGCTGACATAGCAAGGATTCTGTTTTAAGCCACCTGTCATGAGATGGATGAGCTACAGCTTTGTAAGAACTGCTTCTATTTATCAAATACTGGTCCTGACTATTGGTTCTGCTATCCTTGTATACCTAATCATGAACTGGTTTGGGCTAAGATAAAAGGTTTTGAATTCTGGCCAGCCAAGGTAATGCAGGAGGACAATCAGGTTGACATCTGCTTCTTTGGTCACCACCATTAAAGAGCTTGGATTCCTTCTGAAAACACACCGGACATTGCAGTCAGTGTCCATCGGCTTTGTGTATAGCACATTGTGGGTTGGGGAAAGGCCTGTGATAAGCAGGAACTGAATCAGCATTTCCTCTGTGATGGAAGATTTTGGAAGTCTAAGAATGAAGACCTTAAGGAGGAGGAGGCAGAAACCAGTATCTCCTCTCCCAGCAATGAGTAGCTCACGATCACTCAGGAACCAAGAGCAAAGAAAGGGCATTGTAATCAAAGTGTGGAAGCAAAAAGCAAAGAACCGGAGCATGAAACTAAAGCAGTCAGTTCCAGCCAGGAAATCCCCATAATGCCTCAGCCAACTGAAAAAGTTTCAGTGCCAACTCAGGCTAAGAAGTGAAATGCCTCTTCACCAAGAATGCTGCAATGAAGCACCAGACCATTAGTGATGGAGTGTGTCAAAGCATGTGCCATTAGGGTATTTATAACATCATTCTCGGGTCATACAAAATTATCAACTTAAAAATTAGCCTGAGAGAACCAAGATGGCGACATAAGGCATAAACCTGTGTGTGCTGCCTCCCACAACAGCACTGAAATTACAACTATAAGACAAAACAGCTATCATCCAGAACCATGGGAAAGCTGGCCAAGTGGAAGTTCTACAACTAGAAGGAAAGATAGAAGCGCATTGAGACCTGGTAGGAGGTGCAGATGCGCCAAGAACAGAGGTATGCAGGCATGTGTGAGACGGCTGCACCTGGGTGCATGGTGTTTTTCAATCGGAAGGGGATACAAGCTCTCAAACACACTGAGCTTGTTTAAGGTGAGATTCTGGGGTCCCAGACTCCTATGGGGAGAAACTGGACTGTCTTGCAGCAATTTGGAAAGTGAGGGGGGCTTTCTTGCAGAGCTGCTTGCAGGAATCATCGTTGCTGTGGGGGTATGGGACTGCAGAAATGGGACTGCAGAGACGTGGAGTCATGGAGACTCCAGGAGTTTCGAACACACTGACGACAGTCGCTCTGCCCTGGTGATTCTCTGAGACCCCACCCCACTCAATTTACATCCCCTCCCAAGCTGTGCTCAGCGGTGCAAAGGAATCACCTTGGCTTTTGCAGCCTAATCTAACTGCAGCTGGGTTAAAGAGCTCCAAACCTTCCAAATTCCAAACAAAGAGGAGAAATCTGCTGATATCGCTGTAGCTCCTGCTGGGTGGACTCACACAGTGGTTGACTTGGAGATCCAGGAGCCAGGGTACCCCTGGTCAGATACCAGATTTCAACTCCTCACATCCATAAGGGACACACTCAAGAGGCAGACTCAGTGAGCACCCTCTGAAGCAAGTTGTGCCCCATAAGGGTGTCTCCAGCACAGCAGTTCTTCTTATAGACACAGTGGGTCCTCGCAGTCAGCCAAAAATCCGAAGACAAAAAAACATGTCACAAATGAAAGAAATGGAGGAAAGCAAACTAACGGAGGACATAGAGTTCAGAACCACAGTTATAAGATTACTCAAGAATCGTCTACGAACCTCCGAAGAACTTAGTGAGACCTTCAAGGATCTTAATGAGAATGACAAAAAAATGGAAAAGGACCAGTCAGAAAGTAAACATACACTGACTGAAATAAAGAATAATATACAGAGATCCAACAGCAGACGAGAGGATCCCAAGAATCAAGTCAAAGATTTGAAATATGAAGAAGCAAAAAACACCCAACTGGAAAAGCAAAATGAAAAAAGAATCCAAAAATATGAAGATAGTGTAAGGAGCCTCTGGGACAACTTCAAACGTACCAACATCCTAATTATAGGGGTGCCAGAAGAAGAGAGAGAGCAAGATACTGAAAGCCTATTAGAAGAAATCATGACAGAAAACTTCCCCTACCTGATGAAAGAAATAGACTTACAAGTCCAGGAAGTGAAGAGAACCCCAAACAAGAGGAATCCAAAGAGGACCACACCAAGACACATCATAATTAAAATGCCAATGGCTAAAGACAAAGAGAGAATCTTAAAATCAGCAAGAGAAAAACAGTTAGTTACCTACAAGGGAGTACCCATACATCTGTCAGCTGATTTCTCAACAGAAACTATGCAGGCCAGAGGGAGTGGCAAGAAATATTCAAAGTGATGAATGCCAAGAACCTACAACCAAGATTACTTTATCCAGCAAAGCTATCATTCAGAATTGAAGGTCAGATAAATAACTTCACAGACAAGAAAAAGCTAAAGGAGTTCATCACCACCAAACCAGGATTATATGAAATGCCGAAGGATATCCTTTCAGAAGAGGAAGAAGAAGAAAAAGGTAAAGATAAAATCTATGAACAATAAAGTGACAACAAATAAATACCTATCAACAAGTGAACCTAAAAATTAAGTCAGAATAAACTGGTGAATATAATAGAAGCAGGGGCATAGAAAGGGAGTGAAGGGACAATTCTTGGGGGGAAAGAAGTGTGGGGGGTGCGGGAAGAGATAGGACAAAAATCTTACACCTATGGATGAGGACAGTGGTGGGGGGGTAAGGGCATGGGGTGGGGTGGGAACCAGGTGGAGGGGAGCTATGGGGGAAAAAAAGAGGAACATCTGTAATAATCTGAACAATAAAGATTTATTATTAATAAATAAATAAATAAATAAAAATTAGCCTGCTATCTTTGGTCAAACATTTAATTAATAGACCTAATGCCTTGGCAGGGCCACATCAAATGATTTCTTGGGCTGGATGTTCCCCAACCCTGCCAGGAATTGAGAATGAGGACAAGAGCCTTTCGGGTTATAATGGGTTATGCTTCTCTTAGAGAAGACAAAACATGAACATTTTAGTGTTTCTTTAACAAGTGAGATGGTGTGGAAATGTTTTCAAGGAGAAAACACCTTTTTTCATAGAGAATTTACTTGGCTAGTTAACAGAACTTTTCTTTCTTGGGTTAAAGTGTAGTCACTTCTATTATATATCCTAAAGCCTCTGTCTCTCCTGGTGAGGACATGTGAGCACTACTAAGGGCCTGGAATGTCCCAAGAGGGTAAGAATAGCCCACATGAGAGATGACTCCTGCTGTCTTCTGGTCCCTGCAGTTGTCAGGAACACTTTGCCTTAGAGGCAAACAGCTCGGGGGCGTCTCAACAGAGACAGAAAAACTGACCTCCTGTTCCTGGGCTCAAATTTTTCCTTTCATATTTACAGCTTTCCTTTTTCACTCTTTTGTGGCTAACATACATTTGTTTCTCCAAAGATTTCCCACCTCCTTGGAGACAGCAAGCTTCTGATGTCCCCAGCAGCCTTGAGTCTTCAACATTCTGGAAGCATGGACCGTTTGGACTTGCTTGGGTTCCTCATCATCACGTTAAACTGCAATGTGACTATTGTGGGTGAGTACAGGAAACACCCCCAAAGCTCTTATTCTATTTTTTGTTTTTATTGGTTTTCCACACCCACACCAACACAAAGTGCAAAGGTCTGTGCACTGCTAGAGTAAAAAGGGGCTGTGGGTTCAAGCTTCTGATTTCACCATGGTTCCTCTATCATTTAAGGAAGTCTGGGTGTGAGTGTTTTTCTCTCCTGGGGCCTCTTCTTGCTGATACTCTGGTGCTGAGTCTAAAGCCTGAGCAGGTGAAAGGGGTAACACTTCTCTGGCTGCATTACCAGGAAAAGATAAATTAATGCCTCAGTTATGCTTTCTTTTTGTTCTAGAGTTTAATCTTGAAGCTTAATTTGTAAAGATTAGCAATTTCTTTTGTGCTTTAAACCACAAAAGTTATAGTTATATTTTAAACAAAAAAAGTAACAAGGACTTCTGAATTTAGTGCAGATAAGACAAATTTTTAGAGAAGTATGGGTGTCCTAGAAAAAGGGATTGAGAAAAGGACTAGTCGTTGATATTTTTCTTACTCTTTATTTTGTATAATTGAAACAAAATCAAGTTGGTCTTTAAAAGTTTGAGTCAATAACTTTATCACATAATAATATTATTTAACTGACTTCATTTATAATAGAGTTTTGTTTTTCTATCAGGTGATGTTTTCTGTATCTCATCACAAAACAAAGTATTTACAAATTATTTTCATTGAGTCTTAAATATATTTCAAAATAGTTGACTCATGACATGAAAAGAAGACTTTTGAAGTTATTTTGATTCCCCAGGTTGGCCATATTTATTCATGATAAGTTGAAAAAAGACAAACCTCATTAATTCATAATAACTGAAATAGGGGAAAAGGAATTCTAAATTACTGAAAATTCTGAAAAATTGAATATTCTTAAATAATTTTTTTGTTAATCCTCACGGGAGGACATGTTTATTGATTTTTAGAGAAAGGGAAAGAGAGACAGAAACATAGATTGGTTGCTACCATAAACGTGCGCTGAGTCGGGATGGAACCTGCAACCTCGGTATGTGCCCTGATGAGGAATTGAACCTATCACCTTTTGGTGTACAGGACACACTCCAACCAACGGAGTCACCCGGAGAGGGTTTAAAGAAATTTGATTCTAAGGGCCATAAAGCAATATTAAATACAAGCCCTATTGCCTGGCCAGTGTTGCTCAGTGGATTGAGCCTTGTCTCATGAGCCAAAAGGTCGCTGGTTCAATTCCTGGTGAGGGCACATGCCCACATTGCAGCTCCATGCCCAGTAGGGGGCATGCAGGAAGCAGCTGATTGAAGTTTCTTTCTCCCCCTCCCTTCCTCTCTCAAATCAATAAAATATGTATTTAAAAAAATAAAAACAAGTCCTGTTATTAAATGAAGGAGGCCTTGTGGACCATTATCATAAATAAAGACTTATTGTATTTGCTCTACAGAGTTACAGGAATGCACTAACATCGTTTAAAAAGTTTACTCTCCTAAAAAAGTAAGATCTTATTTGCGTCATTTATTTTCTCAGCTCAACTTTCTTTCTAGAACTTTCAGTCCAGGAGACATTACCAAAAGTCTGAATTAGCAGAGCCAAATTAAACATGTTCTGTAATTACGCTTCTTTAACATCTGCTAATTTCAAAGCATTTTACAAACAAGTAGTTCACACAGTGTCTGACACATTGTAAGTGCTAGATAAATATTTGTCACATGCAAACTAGGTGATACTGTTGCTGTGACTAAAATGAATGCTTTTGGACCTTACACTTCACTCTCAGCCCCAGGATATATGTAAACATCATTGTTAGGAGGAAGTCTGTTTTCATGGTGGTGCCCTTCTCTTTTCCAGGGAAGATCTGGCTTATCTTCATGATCCTGCTAAGGATGGTGGTGATCATTGTGGCTGGGTCCCCCGTTTACCAGGATGAGCAGGAGAGGTTTGTGTGCAACACTCTGCAGCCCGGGTGCGCCAATGTCTGCTATGATGTCTTCTCCCCAGTGTCCCACCTGCGCTTTTGGCTGGTCCAAAGCGTGTCTGTTCTTCTCCCTTCAGTGGTTTTCAGTGTCTATGTGCTGCACAAAGGAGCTGAGCTTGCTGCCCGGGGACCCTGTGGGCCAGATGGTGGTTCAGAAAGCCAGGACCTTGCAGATCTGAGCCCCAGGGATAGGCTCTGCCCTCTGCCCTGCAGGGAGGGGCGTAGCCTAGTAGTGCCAGACTTCTCCTACGGCTACATTGTGCACCTCTGTCTTCGGACCCTGGCAGAGACAGCTTTAGGGGCCTTGCATTACCTCCTCTTCGGATTCTCGGTCCCCAACAGGTTTTCCTGCGACCACTCTCCCTGCTCTGGCTCAGTGGATTGCTATGTCTCTCGGCCCACAGAGAAGTCCATGCTGATGCTCTTTCTCTGGGCACTCAGCGCGCTCTCTGTGCTGCTCAGCGTGGCCGACCTGCTCTGCAGCTTGGGCAGGAGGACTCTCAGGGAGCCGGGACCCGCCGAGTGTCCCCGGGAAAGGAGGCCAGATCCGGTGGTGCTGGATAGGCTGGGGGAGGAAAGGGTGTTGCTAGCACACCGTGGCCTGTGGACCAGAGGGCACGGTGCCCACAGCCCCAGTGGTCAGTGGGCTGTGTCGGGGCGGATGGAGCTTCCAGAGGAGGATGAGAGTGAGGGGGTGTCCTTTACCAGCGACAAGGTCTCCAGGGCTTGCACAGAGCCTGGGGGCAGGCCTCGCGCAGAGGCCCCTCCGGACTCCCGAAATGAGCATCCCTTAAAACCCCACCGTCTGCAGGCCCAGCACTGCCCGTCCAGTCTGTGGCAACCCTCAACCCACCAGGCTGGTGCTGGGAGCGCCCCTCTCCTGGGGACCAGAAGGTCCGAGTGGGTGTGAAAAGGGCGGCCAGGCAGTGCAGTGACTGAAAGACTCGCACCCTAACATCACCTTGGCACATGGAAAATCTTTATGTTCCTGGAGAATATCAATGGGCAGGAAGGCCAGCTGGCCTGTGACAAGGACTTCATGGGACACACACAGACTTATACTATTGCTTTAATTTAGATCACCCTGTCTGCTGAAAGAAACCCTTGCATTCAAATTTGGACTGGAAGCTAAAATGATTGATTGCAGTGTCAGGTTGCTTAGGGATTATGCTATACTCTGACTGGCTTGTTATCTTATTCTTTATCATAGTATGTGCTTTATGTAAAGCATGTTCTTTTACATTAACAGAGTTCATTACTGTTTTAATATTTTCCAGTGAATTATTATGATTCTTTTCTTTTTATTTGTTTTTCATTTTTTCCTTTTTGTTTATTTTTCTGCTTGGATAAAAAAAAAAAGGCATCTTAAGCATGTCATCAGTAGAGACACATTAGTTTAACTTCTCCAAACCCCTTTAATAAAATTAATGGTGATTGCTTATGATATCCCACTTCATACTTCATTGTTATAGGAGACAAATGACAAATGCAGAAAATATGACTAGTTGGGGTTTTAGAGGCAATGTTGATGGTTATAGCATGCAGATGGAAGGCGCACAGAATGTGGGTTGGCCCTGACTTACTTGTTTGTTCTGTGTCTCTGAGTGGTTGTCCTCACTGATTAGAGGGCCCGCTTGCACTGGAAATTGTACCTTCAGGTTGCGCTGAGTCTTCATGCTCCAGTGTAGCAGATGAGAAGCATGGGGAATGCTGTGGTTTCACAGTTCCTGCCCCTCTGCTCATGGAATGGGCACAAGCTTATTGCTGCACTTCTCTGCATTGCTTTGGTTTGTGTGACTCTGTTAGATCTGTAATGCTGCCTTTAATTGCCTGATGGGAGGATGCAGTGCAGCAGAATGAGCTACTATGGGACAGGACAAACCTGCTCACTTTCATCAACAGAGGAGAAGCCATCTGTTATACTTTCAGAATTTATAAATATCCTCTGGTCCCCAAACACAAAATGGCCTAGGAAGACATATTACTCTCACCATTAAAATAATAAAAAAAGGTGAACAAATGTACCTGTGAAATCAATGGACATTTAACTGTTCTAAAGAAGACTTTGACAATGAAATATCTGCCGAGATAGAAAATAATATCCTACTCACTATATCTACAGGCTATTAAAGCAATTGGTTACAACTGAAAAAAAAATCATCCAAAATTGGTTTTGGCATAAAACCAATGAATGTGCCTATATTTAATATATGCAGAAAATCAATTTCTTTCTCTCTTTCTCCTCAATTTATTGAAAACTGAGCCATGACTCAGACCCTTTTCTTCAATACTTAGATCAATGTCTGCACATACAAATAAATCTGTTTTTTGAATCTGATATTCCTAAATGATTCAGGGGCAAATCTGGTTTTTGTCTCTTGTAGCATGCAATTCTGGTGGACTTCCCAAGGGTAGGTGTAGTCTTAGAGATATAAGGATTCTCTAGGGCTTCATTACTATTCCCCACCCCCCAAATTAATACATGCTCTTACTGCATCTTTAAAATATCACCAGTAAACCTGAGGAATCATTCGGCATCTTGCTGTTTCTATAGCCAGACACTTAGCTCTTATTCATCAGCCTGCTGAGCTGTTCCTTTTTCAGAAACATAAATACCACCTGACATTTTTCTTATATCCTTATTGGGTTTTTTAAAATCCTCACCCAAGGATATTTTTTCCATTGATTTTTTTAAAAATATATTTTATTGATTTTTTTACAGAGAGGAAGAGAGAGAGATAGAGAGTTAGAAACATCGATGAGAGAGAAACATCGATCAGCTGCCTCCTGCACACTCCCCACTGGAGATGTGCCCACAACCAAGGTACATGCCCTTGACCGGAATCGAACCTGGGACCTTTCAGTCCACAGGCTGACGCTCTATCCACTGAGCCAAACCGGTCACGGCTCCGTTTGATTTTTTTAAAGAAAGAATGGAAGAGAGGGAGAGAGACATCAATGTGAGAGAGACACATTGATTGATTGCCTCCCCACCTGCCCCGACTGGGTGGGGATCAAGCCTGCAACCCAGGTATGTGCCCTTGACCAGAATCGGACCTGTGACCCTTCAGTCTGCAGGCCTAGGCTCTAAGCACTGAGTAAAACTGGCCAGGGCTGATATCCTTGTTTTTAACTGTTGTGACTTGCTGAATTTAGTACAAGTTCACTGTCATTTTCTTCAGGAATGAACTCATCTTTCTGGGCTTGAGATAATGAACTAGCAATACCTGACATCATCTGAAATCTAGGGCTGTATTTTTCACTTAAGAAATTTCTGATTTCAACAAGAGAACCATTCTCCTGAATAATTGAGCGTATATAGTCCTCATCTTGTAAAGAAAGCCCAGTGTAACACCTTGATCATGTCTGTAAATGACTGTAGATGGTGGGAACAGTGGCCAGTTCCTTTCTATTTCCCCACTGTTTTGTTAACCTGGAGCCTCTTCTCTTTCTTTCCGAGGAGGTTGAGTTCTATATTGATGTGATTGAAGTCCCTGGGGCGCTTCACAACTGTATGTTCCTTCAGAGTGATGTCCACATTTTCTGGAATGTCAACAGTCTGTTTGTTGAAAATGGTCTTCATCCTCATAGTAGCTGTGAAAAATAACTTTATTACTATTTTAAAAGTAAGGTCCACAGGCCCCTCAAACCCCCAGTGTTAGCATTGATAATTTTGACTGATGGAATCAACTCAACTTTGGTGGTGCACACCCAGTCAAGGTACCTGGATAATAGCTGTGAAAGGAAAGTGGCAAATGCTGAGCTGGGGTTCTTTCTTGCTCAGGGCCTGAGTGAAAACTGGGCAGAGCATCTCTGTGTCCTTCTCCTATTGGAGTCTATGCTCAAGTTTGGATTTACAAACAAGTGTGATTTTATTTGAGTGGCCTGGGAAGGGGTTGCTTTGTCCACTCTGCTGATGCCCACAATCCTTCTATCAAACAGAGACCTGAGTTTGTTCCATGGAAAGATATACATAGTACTCATAGCAATGGGTGTAAGAGGAAAGGAGAGAGGTAAGGAGTCAAGAGTAAGACTCTGAATTCTTATCACATGTCCATCATTACTTAGCAGGTCACTTTATTCTTCTGAGTCTGTTTCCTTCTCTGAGTGAAAGGGACCCAAACTCAGGATGGTTCCTTAGTACTCTACAAGTTTAAAAATCCATCAATGAGATATGCAGCTGTCATTCATTTTAACCTGATAGGGGTTAATTATCTAGGTCAGTGATGGCGAAACTATGACACATTTTTTTTGGTTGATTTCTCTTTGTTGAATGGCATTTAAATATATAAAATAAATATAAAAAATATAAGTCTTGGGATTTTTAGGAAAACCAAGATGGCAGCATAGGTAAGCACCAAAATTGCTGCTTAGCACAACCACCTCAAGAATACAACTAAAAGTCAGAACGGACATCATCCAGAACCACAGGAAGGCTGGCTGAGTGGAAATTCTACAACTAGAAGGAAAGAGAAAAGCATACCGAGACTCAGAGGAGCTGCGGTGCGGAAGTAAAGTACAGAGGTATGGAGGCGCATGTGGAGAGGGCTGGTGGCTGAGGACACGGTTGTCTTTTTCAATCGGTAGGGAGTCTCAAGCTCTGAGCTCCAGTTCCGGGCGAGTCTCTGGGGACCCAGACTCAATACAGGAGAAACTGGACTGTCTGGCATCAGTTGGAACTCGAGGGCAGCTTTCTCTCAGAGGTGCTTGCAGCAATTGCTGGGACACTGAGAAGTGGGGCCTCTGAGGGCAGCCATAGCTGCTTGCTCCGCCCTGTTGATTCACTGGGACCCCCGCTCCGCCCAAGGTGTGCGCCGGCTTTTGCATATGAAAGGCCTGGCTCTTGAAATCTGAAAATTACCTAACAAACTTGCAGCTGGCCCAAGGCCCCACAGCTACTTGCATTGCTTCACAGCTGAGCTCCTGCTGGGTAGCCTCAGGCAGAGGCTAGATTAGCACCTCCTTAGAGATCCAGGAGCCAGTGTGCCCAGTGGTCAGAGTGGGACCATCCAGATTGCAGCTCCTCGAAACGATAAAGGACACACTCAGGGGGCAGACTCAGTGAGCACCAAAGCCCCACTGAAGCAAATCATTCCCCGAAGGGGTGTTTCCAGCACAGAAGTTCTCCCACTGCAGACACAGCTGATTCTCACAGCCAATTGGCCTGGAGGTCAATTCCTCCCAGTGATACCTACAACAATCAAGGCTTAACTACAACAAGACTGTGCACAAGGCCCACAAAAGGGTGCACCAAGAGTATCCACCTCAGGTAATTGGGGAGGCTGAGCCACTGGACCCTATAGGACACCTAGCACACAAAGCCACTCTATCAACACAGGGAAGCATAAAAAATGTGGAGACAAAGAAACAGGACACAAATGACAGAAATGGAAGAAAGCAAACGACTGGATATAGAGTTCAAAACTACACTTTTAAGGGATTTCAAGAACTTTCTAGAAACCGCCGATAAATTTAGTAAGACCCTCAAAAAGACTGGTGAGACCGCCGATAAATGTAGTGAGACCCTCAAGAAATCTAGTGAGATCCTCGAGGTTATGAAAAAGGACCAACTAGAAATTAAGCATACACTGACTGAAATAAAGGGTATGATGCAGAGTTCCAATAGCAGACTAGAGGATCGCAAGAATCAAGTCAAAGATTTGAAATACGAAGAAGCAAAAAAACACCCAACCAGAAAAGCAAAATGAAAAAAGAATCCAAAAATACAAAGATAGTGTAAGGAGCCTCTGGGACAGCTTCAAGCATACCAACATCCGAATTATAGCGGTGCCAGAAGAAGAGAGAGAGCAAGATATTGAAAACCTATTTGAAGAAATAATGACAGAAAACTTCCCCTACCTGATGAAAGAAATAGACTTACAAGTCCAGGAAGTGCAAAGAACCCCAAACAAAAGGAATCCAAAGAGGACCACACCAAGACACATCATAATTAAAATGCCAAGAGCAAAAGACAAAGAGAGAATCCTAAAAGCAGCAAGAGAAAGAAAATCAGTTACCTACAAGGGAATACCCATACGACTGTCAGCTGATTTCTCAACAGAAACTTTGCAGGCCAGAAGGGAGTGGCAAGAAATATTCAAAGTGATGAATACCAAGAACCTACAACCAAGATTATTTTATCCAGGAAAGCTATCATTCAGAATTGAAGGTCAGATAAAAGCTTCACAGATAAGGAAAAGCTAAAGGAGTTCATCACCACCAAACCAGGATTATATGAAATGCTGAAAGGTATCCTTTCAGAAGAGGAAGAAGAAGAAAAAGGTAAAGATACAAATTATGAACAACAAATACACATCTATCAACAAGTGAATCTAAAAATCAAGTGAATAAATAATCTGATGAACAGAATAAACTGGTGATTATAATAGAATCAGGGGCATAGAAAGGGAATGGACTGACTATTCTTTTTTTTTATTATTGCTTAAAGTATTACAAAGAGTATTACATATGTCTCCTTTTTTTCCCCTGCCCCTGACAATCCCCTGGCCTCCTCTACCCCCGGTGTCTTATGTCCATTGGTTATGCTTATATGCATGCATACAAGTCCTTTGGTTGATCTCTTACCCACCCCCCTCCTGCCCGCCCACCCTCCCCGGCCTTCCTGCTGTAGTTTGACAGTCTGTTTGAGGCAGCTTTGCCTCTGTATCTATTTTTGTTCATAAGTTTATAATGGTCTTTATTATCCAGAAATGAGTGAGACCATGTGGTATTTTTCCTTCATTGACTGACTTATTTCACTTAGCATAATGCTCTCCAGTTCCATCCATGCTGTTGCAAATGGTAAGAGTTCCTTCTTTTTTACAGCAGCATAGTATTCCATCGTGTAGATGTACCTCAGTTTTCTAATCCATTCATCTGCTGATGAGCACTTAGGCTGTTTCCAGATCTTAGCTATGGTGAATTGTGCTGCTATGAACATAGGGGTGCATATATCCTTTCTGATTGGTGTTTCTGGTTTCCTGGGATATATTCCTAGGAGTGGGATTACAGGGTCAAATGAGAGTTCCATTTGTAGTTTTTTAAGGAAACTCCATACTGTCTTCCATAGTGGCTGCACCAGTCTGCATTCCCACCAGCAGTGCACAAGTGTTCCTTTTTTCCACATCCTCTCCAGCACTTGTCGTTTGTTGATTTGTTGATGATAGCCAGTCTGACAGGTGTGAGATGGTACCTCATTGTTGTTTTGATTTGCATCTCTCGGATGATTAGTGACTTTGAGCATGTTTTCATATGTCTCTTGGCTTTCTGAATGTCCTCTTTTGAAAGGTGTCTATTTAGATCCTTTGCCCATTTTTTTTTAAATTAAATCTTTATTGTTCAGATTATTACATTTGTTCCTCTTTTTTTCCCCCCCATAACTCCCCTCCTCCCAGTTCCCGCCCCACCCTCCGCCCTCACTCCCCACCCACTGTCCTCATCCATAGGTGCACGATTTTTGTGCAGTCTCTTCCCGCATCTCCCACACCCCTTTCCCCCCCAAGAATAGTCAGTCCATTCCCTTTCTATGTCCCTGATTCTATTATAATCACCAGTTCATTCTGTTCATCAGATTATTTATTCACTTGATTCTTAGATTCACTTGTTGATAGATGCATAT